ACACACACACACACACACACACACACACACACACACACACACACACACACACACACGCGCCTGTTAATTCAGAAGCACTGAGTAAATGAATGAAACCAGAGCGGAAGTGAACTCACAGTCTTTAGAGAGAAACACGCTGCTGCTTCTGCCCTTGTTGTGAACCCGGCACTTCCTGGTTACTGTGACGTCACAGACTGGACTTTCAAAATAAAAGTTCAAATTCTCTCTTTTTAGGTTTGATGAAAAAGTAAAATTTTTGACATCTGTTATGATCATGTTATAACATCATCATCATCATCATCATCATCATCATCATCATCATCATCAACGACAAGGTAACAAAGGACTTACAGCTGATTCTCCACAATGAATTGTTCAAAACACTACATTTATTATTATTATTAATGTGTTTGCCTTGTTAATATCGTATATATTGTCTTCAATCCTTTATTTATTTCTATGGGGGAAATTTGAGTTGGATATTTAACGAACATTCAGCCATCATTAGAGATAACTCCCTTGTTTTTAAAAGCTTCCATGTGATGTGACCCTCTGACTCCAAATCAATATCAGATATTATCGCTACACCTTGTTTCTATTTGATTTTATTGTGTCCTCCATTTTGTACAAATATTCCGGTTGCATTACACTGCGTTTTATTTTATAAAAAAAATGTGTTGATGTATGTAATTTAAAGTATTATTTAATATATTTGGTTGTAGGATCAATAATGTCTGAAACAAACCCGTCTGTAGGAGATCAGATGGAGACAGATTGACCACAGAGGAGCACAAAGAGTTAAGTGAGGTGGAGGCTGCAGCCAATCAAGACCAACCCATCTCCAACAGACTACAGACCAAAGAAGTGCAGGAGGAGGAGGTTTCTGTCACAGCTCTCCTCTCCCTCAGAACACACACTGTCAGCACCATTATCCAAACCTGTCCACTGAGCCTCAAGGAGAGGACAGAAGACAATGAGACATCTTTAAAACACCCTGTCCGGATGTGACCAGAGCCCAGATCTTAAGATGGAGCTCTGATGAGGCACTGGAGCAGAAGAAGAGTCTTTAACTCTGGGATACAAGTGTCTTCAACACAACCTGAGGAGGAGAAAATGATCTGAGTGAGCCTGGAAAGTGAACTTCAGCTCTGTTGGAGAAAAGACATCATGTTGTGTGCACGGGGAATCGTTGCCTTCGCTCTTTTCCACTGTATAATAACAGCGACTGCTCTGGTGAGTGTACTCGACTTGTCCTCACTATTTAGCTAAATGAGTTTATGACCACTTCATGATCTAAAGGGTGTTATGTTCCCTTTATAGATTTATTTGTTCTTTGTTTAAACTGACATTTATTTTCACTCTATTGGTAAAACTGTTATTGTTGCTGTGGTTTTACTTTTAGTCTCTCAAAATAAGAACACATATCCTATGTTTTTTTAATTTGTGTTATGAATATAAAAATTATGTTTTTTATGTTATAAATGAAAACTTTTCACACCGTAGCTTCATATCACAAACTTTATTATGGCAGTGCTTCAGAAGTAACACCCACATACTGCTGCACTTTGGGTCAAATCTAGAAAACTTCATGTATCTGTGACTTTCTTTGAGCGTCTGAATCTTGAGCGTGGATTTATCTTTTGCTTCTGGAGATATTCACCCCATTCACCAGGGAATGAACTTGCTGTGTGTTTTTACTTTTTCAACAAATTAGATGACTTTACTTTTTTACAGCTGAAAAAAAAAACCCTCAATATCATTTCATGCTGAAAAAGTCGTTAGTGTTTCTTGGATTGTTTCCAGAGTTACTGATAAAATATAATTCTATGTCTATAATTAAAAAGAGTCATAGATAAATTACATTTTCTTTATTTTGGCCAAAAGTGCAGCAGCATCAGTGGGATATTTCTGTTTTTGTGGACCCCCACTGTCTATGGTTTATTTCCAAATGTAAAACAAAGTCAAATAAGATGCAATAAAGCCTCAACATGCAGAGTCAATGCATTATCAGAAGCAAGTGAAGTATCTGCTCCAGACGATTGAAAAACCAACGCAATCATTAGAGCTTTGCAGAAACAAAGAGGAGAATATATGAGGATCTAACCCAAAATACATTCACACCAACAAAGCAACACTGCAGCGGTGGTGAAAACAAATCACCTGTCGTCTGCTCTACCTCACAAACCTCCATCAGCTCTGGTCCCTTTGACCTTTCACCCACCTACCCGCCACTCGCTTCAACCGCTGTCACCTCCGTCACCTCCGAGCCGCTTCTCTCCATCTTCCCCCGGGTCGATCCCGAGTGTCGACGTCCGGCAGACTTACAACCTCCTGCTCAGTCAGCCTGAAAATCGCTTTACATGAGGCAGAGGCCTGAGAGGATAAATTCAATTACGACACAAAGGCGAGGGGGACGTCCAAAGACTAATCGTTTTGCTAGCACTCCCTGTCCGTCAGCAGAAAACTTGCAACAAAGAAAAGTAAATGACTTTAGAATTGACCTTCGGTTCATTGAATTATGCTGCATGTCAATGTTGAAACTGGAATATGTGATCTTTAAAACCCTGAACCCAGACACACACACACACACATATATGAACTGTAATGATCGTCGTTCACTGTACAACAAGTGGCCTGAGCTGCTCAACATGTGTGTATGGACTTTGGCTGAGAGTCTCTTCCCCAAACAAATCAATGTAGGAGATGATAGGAGCTCAGACAATACTGAAAACACTTTACACCCATTCACAGTTTATTTTAATGGCCTGTGCAAAGAATGTTAGTTATCACATGTCCATTGATTGTTCCACTTGGAGTTTAGTCTGTTTAATAAGAGCTGTTTAGCTGGTGAGAACGACGGCAGAGAGAGGAAGTTATATACTCAGATACTTTTTTGTGCCAATCCCACCATTTAAAATACTCTAATACCAAAGTTCAAATATTAATCACTTTTCTACCAATAGCATTTAAAGTGCAGAATCATTATCAGGAAAATGTACTTAAAGAATCAAAGGTAAAGTGCAGCGTGTTAGCGTTCCATGTTTGTTTTAGCTAACAGATAAATTACCTTTAGAATGATCTCTTTGTGAATCCCAAAGGAACATCGTAGTGCAACAGCAGCTAAATCAGTCATAAGCTGCTTCTAGACAATCACTGAAGTTCGGGCAGAGATTTTCCAGAGGGGCAGGACGTCCTGCTGCGTTCTTCACATGTGAAAGCAAAACTCCAGATAATGTACAAACCCAATTTTTCAGTTGAAGTTAATGTCTGCAAACAGCCAGAACCACACAACTGATCAAATAAGAGATGAACAAACAGATCTCGATTGTGGAAACGTTTTCAGTAAAGTAAAACTATTTTAGTGCGGTGGAGAAAGTATAAGAGAAGAAAGTATATATTTTCAACTATTCTGTAACGTTTGTAAAATACTGAAGGATATTTACCTCTTTCGGCCTCTAACTGGTACTTGTATTGAGTTTGGGAGGAACTGCAATGTATTATATAAATGATCAAATCATATCATTTATTTATTGAAACCTGTAAAGAAGCCCTCCACATTGCAGAGGAAATAAAAAGTAGCAGAAAATTGACAAACACAAATAAAGTGCAAGTACTTTAAAACTCTTTCTGTGTCCTCTCTCTCTCTCTCACTGTTCTCCTCCTCTTCTCCGGCGAAGTGTTCTCATGTGATTTCTCTGGTTGACTCACTGCTAGTTTTGCTGCACTGTTGTGAAATGTACCCCGGAGCACAAAGCTCCTTGTGTAGGCTACTTCTCACCGGCGTGGCCGAGGTCCCGAGGACGAGGCCCCCGTGCGGCCGAAGGCAGAAGAAGGGTTTGACGGGGGATCATCACATACCGCACCCTCACACAAATATTTCACGACACCTGGAGGCAGCACATCGGATCCTTGGGAGCGTTTGTGGTTGATAGATCGCCTCGGTTGGAAAAAGACTTCAGAGAGATTAGGAAATGTCGGCAGATTCAAAGATGAATAAAAGTGCTGAGTTCGTCGTGAGTCTAGGACAAATAACAAACCACTTGGTGAGACCGCTGAAGAGACATTACAGCAAAACGTCTGCTTGTGTAAATGAGACCTTTCTGAAAGGATTGTGTTGCCGATGACTTTATTTGTGTCTGTCTCTTGTATAATTCCAGAAATATGTCTGTCTGTATGTGGCGCACATATCTTGAGGGCCCTTCATCCATTCGGCTTCACACTTGGCAGGTGTTTTGTGAAGGGCCCAAAGAAGTGCAGTGTTAAATTTGGTGTCATTTGGACACACGACAACTTCAATATTAATAGACTTTCAATAAAAAGGTGACCAGCGCTGTGTAGTAGAGCTTCACCGACCTTCGAATAACAAACTGGCAGACTTTATAACACAGTTCAAGGATGTAAATTTATGGTTGGAATACAGCGAACAACTTGAAAAAAGATGCTCACGTGAGGAGCCTCAACCCACGAAAACATCTCGTTTGTGCCTTTAGAGGTTTGGTCCAACTCTTTCTCTCTTTTACAGATCGACTCTGATGACGTCATCACACGAGACGAGCAGATCTACGTTCTGATTGGTGCTCACGCCAGGTGTGAAAGGAGCATCCAGGCACAGATGGCCCAGGTCAGAGGTAAACGTGCTGTTAGTGATCACTGTAGTCATCAGAGATAACGACGGCTCCGTGCTCAGGTCTGTTTAAGTCTTAGTCATGATCTTTCTTTAATATCTGATTTAAACCTTCACTCTAGATAAAATAAAAGTTAAATACCTAAAAGCTCTGCCTGTTTAGGAGGAAAGGATTTACGTCTGCAGTGAGGTCAGGGAGTGCATATCCAAATATAGAACCTGCTGATTTATTTACATCTGATATAAATCCCACCCAATATCCTGCTGCCCAGTGTCACTGAGATTACAGCGTTGAATGCAGGGACAAACAATAGCAGGACATTTTAGACTGACACTGTGACGTAGAGGCTGATGACAGCGTTTACACATCTGTCGATTCAATGGTCCACATTTTACAGGACGGAGACCGACAGTCCAACAGAAGAGAGGCACCGTCATGGTCCAGTGAGACAACAGCGTATTTTCTGATAAGCGGTGCAGAAACATTTAATACTATATGATTAAATGTAAGTGTAATAAAATAATACTTTCTGCTATTTTTTGGGGTTTGAACAACAGTAATAAAGTTCTTAAACCCTGAACCATCACAGAGAAACATGGATTTCGCAGATTGCTTCTGCAGAGGCCGAGAGTATAAGTGAAAACAAGCTCTATATATTTCACCTGTCAAATAATTACACAAGAAGTATGATATCAATATGTTGGACGGAGGTTCAAACAAACAGTGAATGAACATCTGCTTCATTTTATATGTGAAGAGAGCGACTGCATCCCAGAGTGGGACGGGATCATCTGCTGGCCACGGAGCAGAGCGGGTCAGCTGGTGTCAGTGATGTGTCCGGAGTACATCTACGACTTCAACCACGGGGGTAGGAGAGCTCCACGGTCCCCATGATGTACTAACATCACTGAAGTTTCAGATGTCCTAATGCTCTACTGTCCCTGTGTCCCAGGACGAGCCTACCGCCAGTGTGATGCATCGGGAAACTGGGAGCAGGTGTCCAGCATCAACCGCACGTGGGCTAACTACACAGAGTGCATCACATACCTGACCTCCAACCACAGGAGCCAAGCGGAGGTGTGTGCATGTGTCCAGATGTGTATGTAGACTGTATCTGATCTGAATGTGTGTTTGCATTTACAAAGCTGTTCAGACCTGTTGCACATCTGTATTCGTCTGCACTTCTGCACTCTCTCCGTATTTTGTTTGTTTTGTTTCAGAAGGTGTTTGAGAGACTCCACCTCATGTACACTGTTGGTTACTCTGTTTCTCTCACATCGCTTTTGGTGGCCGTCTCCATCCTCTGCTTTTTCAAGTAAGAAACGCAAACTAGAAAACGTGACCCACAGCCCCACCTTTAAATAATTAGAATCCATAGTGAGCTGCTCCTGTTTTCAAAAGAGTCTGGAGCTTTGTCCACAAAACTGAGCATTTGTTAATATTGAATTAAATCCAATTAAGAAAATTATGATTTAATTTAATTTGGTTTGTATCATAAGACATCAATCATTTTCCAATCTAACTTCTCTATGTCACACACACACACACACACACACACTCACACACACACACACACTTCCAGGCGTCTCCACTGCACACGCAATTACATCCACATTCACCTCTTCACCTCCTTCATATGTCGAGCAGTCAGCATTTTCGTGAAGGACGCGGTGCTCTACTCCATTTCTGATGACAGCAAGGCTGAGCCTGAGTTCTCTGCACAGAAGCCACATATGGTAAAACATATGTTTTTTTAGATCCATGTCCATTTATCCATAGTTTTTCTGACAGTATAAATTAGTTAATTAGCAGTTTATGGTCTGTTTGACTCTGTTTGTCTGTGCTTCTCTGTCTGCAGGCTGGTTGTAAAGTCGCTGTCACTCTCTTCCTGTATTTCCTGGCGACCAATCACTACTGGATCCTGGTGGAGGGGTTGTACCTCCACAGCCTCATCTTCATGGCCTTCCTCTCCGACAAGAACTACCTGTGGGCCCTCACCATCATCGGCTGGGGTAAGCAGGTCGCTCCGTCATCACATGTGGAGCTAATGGGGGATTGTAACCCTGCAGATTTCTCTTTTTTCCCCTCTGCAGGTGTTCCAGCTGTGTTTGTGTCCATTTGGGTCAGTGCACGAGCTTCGCTGGCAGACACGCAGTGAGTCACGTGATGCATTCAGGTGTCTCGTGTTTACATGACACCGGTATCAAAAACTCCTGCTTGAACTCTTTGCCCTCTGCTTTCAGATGTTGGGACATCAGTGCTGGAAACCTGAAGTGGATCTACCAAGTTCCCATTCTGGCAGCCATTGTTGTAAGGAAAACAAATGAATTATTAATTTCTGTTAAAGGAGATTTGATATTTAGTTTGTCGTCTCTGTCCCCGCAGGTGAATTTCCTCCTGTTTGTCAACATAATCCGAGTTCTGGCCTCTAAACTGTGGGAAACCAACACTGGTAAACTGGATCCTCGACAGCAGTACCGGTGATTACCTCGGGTTCTGTTTTCACCCCTGTCCATCTGTTTTCTGGTTGGTTGGTGTGATGACAAACATCATCATTTCTGCTCTTTATCGGCAGGAAGCTGCTCAAGTCCACATTAGTGCTCATGCCGTTGTTCGGAGTTCACTACATGGTGTTCATGGCTCTTCCCTACACTGACGTCACTGGGCTGCTGTGGCAGGTGCAGATGCATTATGAGATGTTCTTCAACTCCTCCCAGGTCAGAATAATCATCCTCTTAGGTACAGAATGCAGTCATTTCTTTCAGTTTTTAGATTCCTCTCAAATACTCCATCCCCTACACTTCCTTTTTCACAACATCTCAATTTCCTCCTACCAGGGCTTTTTTGTTGCTTTCATCTACTGTTTCTGCAACGGAGAGGTAACGTAATAAAGCTATTATTTAGTTTGAATAAAAACACTCAGCTTTACTTGCTGAGTTTAAAACGTAACCTTCTGTTCTCAGGTGCAGGCGGAGGTAAAGAAGGCGTGGCTGAGACGCAGCCTCGCTCAGGACCTCAAACAAAAAACCCGGATGACCAGCAGCGGCGGTGGAGGCAGCTGTTACTATGGCGGCATGATGTCACACACCACCACGCACAGTGTCAGCTTGTCTGCCTCCAATCCCAGAGCGCTTCCCTTCACTGGAGGTGCAGCGGGATCCGGTGGAGCTGCTGGTGGAGGGTCAGGGGTCAGGCCGCCACGCCACACCTCGCTGCAAACACAAACCAGCCTACTTGGTTTTGTTCCTGGTGATACCGAGACCACGGGTGTTTTTGCCAGACACGTCAGAACCAGCAAAGACTCCAAAAGTCAGACAGTATCTTCAATCCAATCCTCTGGAGCAGAAGATCCAGAAAACCCCTTATCTCTGAAACAGCTGGAGACGATCTTGTGATTGTGTTCACAAAGGGTATGAGTCAGATAAATAAGAGAAATGTTGGACTCACTCACACTGAGACACATTGAGATCAGCTTCAATAAGAAGTCTTCAGAAAAAAAGTGCTTAGAAAAACACCCATAACTTGGTGACAGCTGCTGAGGGAAATTCTGTGTGATGTGATTTCAGCAGAAACTAAAAAGTCCAAAATAAGGATAAAAGACAAATTTGTGGTCGATTCAAATTCTGCCAGTCTACACGAATTGTACATTATTTACCTCCACCATGGAGGAGATGTTTTCATCTGAGCCGATCTGATAGTTAGCAGGATTATGCAAAAACTACTCTGAGGTTTTAGGTTACTGCGTTTTTCAACATTTCCGATGATAAGGCGATAAAGGAAGACCTGAGAGACCTGGATGTTTAGACATAGAGATCTTTTTATTTCTCTCACTTGACTTTCCTGTGTTGGAGTTTCCCTGCCAGACTGGCTGACCCCAATTCAGATTGCACTTATGTGTGTGTGTGTGAGGTCAAATATTGACCTCCAGGTTCCAGCCACACATTTATGATGGGGGGAGCTCTATATATATATATCACTCACTGATTATTTGTAACGTCTAGACAAACCTGGACCCTCTGCACCTTTGTTGTTGTCAACTCAGCTCCACTCATCAGTCTGTCAGGACCCTCAGGGCTAATGCACAAACCTTTTGCCCCTCACCAGCCAAACTCAAACTCCCTCCACCGTGTAACCTCTGCCCCAAACGCCTTCACAACACCGTCCAGAATTTCACACGCTCCCCTCGGGCCCTCGGCTCGGAGCTGGAGGCACCTGAGCTGTTTGTGACGGACAAACGTGCAGCAGAGGAATTCACAAGATGAGCAGACAGAAAAGTGTCCTCGTAAATATTTTAGGACAGTCTAGGTATCCACATTGTTCTGTGTTCTGTGTTTGTATGGAATGTACAGTGTAAGATAATTGTGATAATTTAATATTTAATCAAAGTTGAAATAAAGTGAATTGAATGACTGAGCAGAATGGACTTGATTTCCATTCTACTTCTCAACTCAATGTGTATAAAAATGATTTGGTTGTTTGATCTACTGCAGACTGGTGCTGATAACAGAGATGTCTCCAACATATTGGAAAGAAATAACACTAGAAAAATATAATAGCTATGGTCCAACTGCTGAAATATACATGATCTGAGTGCAGGTTAAAGTAAAGCACATAAAGTGGTGAAGCAAATCAATATTGACTGACACTGACTGCGATCGTGGGACTTTCTGCTCCTTGACATTTTGAGTTACTCGTGTTTCTGTGTCACTGTATATATGCAATGTGAAAACACCATGATTTTCAATTTAAAGATATAATATGCAACATTCTTCATTAAAATGTCTAAAGATATTTAAAACAAACTTACAAAAACATACAAAATATACAAATGATAAGAGGAAAGTAGGGTTTGGAAATTTTTAGAGGATTACAGATGATAAAGCTCCGTCCCATGTTCCCATGGAACCCGTGTGATACAGGGTAAAGATGTGTCACATGAAAAGAGTGTAGGGCCTTTTTGACCTGTAAGAAATAAAAATAAGTGCACAGTTATTAATTTTTGTTTCAGGGGGAATTTGAACACACACAAAGCAAATTATCGTGCCGCTGAAGAAGAGGTTAGTAGGAGTCATATGAAGCACTGAAGCACAGATATGCATGAGTGATTCCTCCTCCACCAGGACAAAAAGACCACAACCCCCAACGTATGGTGGAGACCAGCTGTCACCTCATTAGGGAGGAAAAGATCAGGGCGTCTCCACGAGCTTCTTAATAACACTTCATAACTGATTCACTTCAACTTTGGCTCCACATGCAACAACAAGGAAGAAGAAAGGGAGGAGGAGGCTGATGGGAAATTTCAAAAGGAGGAAATGATTTGATATGATGATAGCGTTGATGATATCATCATTATTACACTGTCAACACATTTACCCAGAAATGAAAAGAATTACAGATACAGAACCTTCTTTCATAGACAGACACACGTGAATTATACGGAGGGCAGTGTTGAATTCTCTTTTTTTAAGGAAACACATTCATGTGCCCTACATTTTGGAATGAACTCAATGGATATAGCTAAAAAAGGATGTATTTGTTTAGAAGCAGCTCTAACACAGTCGTCTTTACTTGAATCATTTAAACTCTCGCAGCTCCATGACCACATTTTGGAGCTTTATGCTTTTTTACATTTTCTTTTCTTTAAGGTTTACAGTTAAATATTCTAGTTGTATTCTGCACTGCTTTATACACACGTGGCGTGTTTGTGAGTCTCACTTGCACAACAACTCAAGTCCTCATACATTAGACGCGTATTGAAGCTGTGGAAGTTGCATGTCAGTTCTGCTGAGATGATTTGTCATGATCACATTGCATGATGGGACGGCATCCAGTGACGTCACGATGATGTAAGAGGAAAGAGGTGGAGAGAGACAGAGGGAGGGATGGAGAGATAGAGGGAGAGGGAGCACAGATGTTAGTGGCTCCTCTGTTTGCTGTAGAGGAATAATAATTTAAAAAAGAAAGCAGAACAACAGTGTCCGGGTCTGATGCATGAAGCTGAGTCCGCCTGTCTGCAGCTCTGATGCCGGCACGCTGCATCCTCCTCTCCAGCTTCCAGAAGCAGTGAGTGTGGGGGGAGCCGACAGGGAGGGGTCCTTTCATACCCTTCCTCCTCCTCCTCCTCCTCCTCCACCTCCTCCTCCTGGATGGAGCACGGCTGTGTGCAGGCAGCTATGGCCACGGGAGATGTGTCGAAGAGAGCGTCGGTGAGGAACGTGGCGGTGGAGAGAAAGAACCTCATCACTGTGTGCAGGTCAGTTCACCGTCAGAGAGGAGGCTGCTGCTGCTGCTGCTGCTGAGCTTTGATTGGTCCAGATGTTTAGTCTAAGTGGTCATGTGTGATGTGATGATTCATCAGAAAAACACGTTGGATTTGTTTTTTAATTCTCACAGACAACATATGTAAAGTCTATATATTATATTATGACATCCATGCCTGCGTCATCCCTGGAATAAGTCATTATAATGAACCCAGGAAGCCGCTGTGTGCACCGGTGACCTTACTTGACAGCTGCTTGGGGGGTTTTAAACGTAGAATTTGACGTTACACTGACAGTGTTGGAGTTTAGCGTTGTCATCTTTGTCAGGGGTGATGAGCTTCCTACCAGCTGATGGTGTGGTTGCTATGACGACAACCTTCCTGGGGCAAGGACTGGCTGGCACCCCAGGGAGTCAGTGCAGGAAGGGAAGTGTGAGGCTTGCAGGTCATTGGCTTCAGCCTACATGAGTATATATATATATATATATATATACGCCTGTGAACTTCTCAACGCACACATAAAGATATTTATCACCGAGGAGCAGCGTGTGTTTATGCAGGGATCCAGCACACAGGGCATTTATTCAGGCAGAGATGGAGAAGACCTTGTTTTGGTTTTGTTTCTCTCACAGCCTCGTTTTTCCACTTCGGCAGAAAGCTGCTCTCAACAGAAAAGCTGACAAACCATTATAATTTGTCATGATTCAAGACATTGATTTAAAATTACTAATAATAACTTGAGTTTGTTTCATGAGTCTGTTTTGAAGCCCGAAGTCATGAGTGAGTGCAGGGTCCAGATGAATGAGGCTGCTGATCCACTGTGTGTGTGTGTGTGTGTGTGTGTGTGTGTGTGTGTGTGTGTGTGTGTGTCACGTCTCGGCACTGCTGTCTTAGATACACTGAATACACAGGGGATTGTCTCTTGCTTTGAGGTCCGTCAGCCAATTATTGTCTTGTATCTGGACACAGTCAGAGCAGCTGAATGAGACATTGTGGCCTTTGGAACAATGGGCGCAAAATCACTTGCCTCAGTGGCTTTTGTTAGGATAAGCATTGTCTTATTGACACCCACCCACCCTCACACACACACACACACACACACACACACACACACACACAGACTGTGTGTCCTGTGAAGTTCTCATATGTCTCATATGGAAATTGTCAAGACCCATTTTTCTAAACATTTCTCCAGAGTTTATGTCTGAAAATGGCTTTAAACAGACAATCTCTGATTCAAACATTACATCCTTGGCTGAGTTAATGAAGTGTCAGCATATCTGACATTATTCTTGTGCTGACTTCAGGGCCGCGTCTCTCTAGCTGGAGTTATTTGGTCCATATGGCTCTTTTCAACTACACAACATATCCACCACATAACATTTGGCAGCAAACAGACTCCATGAATTATTCAGTCTCCAGGAAAATATTTAGGAGTGGTCATTTCAGGAGAAGGACGAGCTTTAGCCCGGAATAAACGTAGAACTTCATCACAGAACATGGGGTTGTGGTAAGTGATGCATATATTACAGCATGAGGTCACTTCCTGTAAAGCTCATCTTCCTCACAGATGGATGACGTCTGGCTTGACTGTAAAAATGTGAGTGAGCAGGAAATGGATGGCTCAGTGCGAGTGCTCACATTAGAGCTACACAAAGGATTGACATGATTATTAACGACATTGTTAAAAGCCTCTGTTTCTCCCTGTGTCCACCCAAACACACAGATTTTCAGTGAAGACGCTGCTGGAGAAATACACAGCCGAGCCCATCGATGATTCATCCGAGGAGTTCATCAACTTTGCCGCCATCCTCGAGCACATCCTCAGCCACCGTTTCAAAGGTGAGAATAATTGACTGCATTTCATGATTGTTGATTCGTTATTTCTTAGTGGAATCAAATAAAATGTTTAATTGACAACTAATTGGAACGGTATTGATGGAATGTGTCTGTTTGCTTATACACTGCTCATGTTACATTTTCCCCGTCAGGCTCTGGCAGCTGGTTCGATGGACAGAGGAGTTTCTGGGACTACGTCCGCCTGGCGTGTGCCAAAGTCCCCAACAGCTGCATCAGCAGCATCGAGAGCATGGAAAACATCAGCACATCACGAGCAAAGGCAAGTCCTACACACAAACATAATGACGATACTAAAAATGATGACATCAATAAAGAAAAGCAAAGAGAGGGAGGAAGGAGGAAGAGTTTCAATACATATACCAAAGCAATGATGCTCAGACATCAGACAACGATCATCAACTGTTCTAGCTGAATTAATCTCAGTCTATTTTCTAGACTCTACTACAATTACTTATTTCAGTGTTACAGCAAGTTTTTTTAATTTTGCAAATTCCATATTGGGTTTCATACCTGCATACTGGCGACACCTAGTGGCCGGAGGCATTATGTTTTCAGATTCTTCCATCCCATTCTTGTGAACACGATATCTCAGGAGCGCCTTGAGATAATTTTTACAAGATACAGACATTAAGTTGGACTTAATAATGAACTGATTTGATTTTAGAGGTCAAAGGAAAGTAGGAAAGTAAGTAGTGTTCACTGTGATGGTAAACATATTAAAAATAAATTATTATTTTGGTGTGGAATATGGTTTGTTTGTGTATGTGAAGATCTGTTCTTACACTGTGGTGACCTCTGCAGGGCCGAGCCTGGGTGAGAATCGCGCTGATGGAGAAGAAACTGTCTGAATACATCGCGACTGCTCTGAGGGACAGCAGAACAACCAGGTAGGAGACGCCCAACAACCAAACAGCTGCGTCACCCCATCACCAGTAGAACCATGTTCCCACCAGCTTGTACCTGTCTGTTTGTTTTAGGAGGTTCTACGCAGAAGGAGCCATCATGTTGAGAGAGGAAGCCACAGTTCTTACAGGGATGCTCATCGGTCTCGGAGCCATAGACTTCAGGTGACCTTTAAGTTGACCTTTAAACGTTGACATTTGATTGTGTTATTTGTCTTTAATTGTTATTCCCTCTGTTTGATTTCTCTTCCACAGTTTCTGTCTGAAAGGGGAGGCCTTGGACGGAAAATCTGCGGCAGTGATCGATTACACACCGTACTTGAAATTCACACAAAGGTATTTTCATTGACACGGAAATGATCTTCTAGTACTGTAGAGAATAACAACACGTTTGTTTACACTTTTTGAAACTACACTT